TCCTGCTATAAAAAACAGAAAAACGCACTCAATATGCTGTATATATCCCTTGCACCTTTGGCACATTCTTCTTCTTTGACTATTTGAGCTTATGTAACAAGTTAATTTCTTCACTGTAAGATTAACAAAGTCAATCAATTAATCAATCTATCTCTCTGCTGTCATCCCCAGTATCCAGTGAACATGTGTATACAAAGGCTAGGGATTCAGATCCATTTTAACATGCAGATACATGTAAAAATTGAATCTATTAAAAAGCAAAAGCCTTTGAAAAATTCCTTTTCTCAGCAGGATAATCAACTTCTCTTGGTTCTCCATCTTTAATGTAATATTAGAATGCTAAAGAGACTCATAAATGGCAGTGGCACCTGGAGGGACATGATTAGATGGAATGGACCCCAACCTCTAAAACCAAGTTCTATTACATCGCTGGACTTCTTTGAAGTCATGGATTGTCCACCATGAACACTGTGTTTAAACATAAGAATGTCCATTGGTGCGCTTGGCACCAGGACACTGGAGATCGGAGGTCAATGATGGACTTTGTAGTCATATCCAGAAGTGTCCATGTTCGGATTGGTTCTGTTTGCTTGCTGTGCAGTTGAGCTGGGTGTCAGCTGGGTGGTTTTCACTTTTTGCGATTACAGATTTGGCCGAAGTAATTCAATGTATTTCAATTTAATTCAGTTTATTTTAATTAAGTTTATTCATGTAACGCCAGTTACCAACACATGTCATCTCAAGACACTGTACAGAGACAGTTCAACCAGATCATACAGGCAGATTGGTTCAAAGTTTCCTATCTAAGGAAAATCAGCTGATTGCATCGACTCATTAACTTAATAGCAGTCCCTCACAAAAAGCACAGCAAGGCAGATGAGCGCAAGGCCAGCTCCCATTTCATAGAGTGATCTCTTAGTTTTAGAGTTGATAGTCTTTTACTGAATGACATTTTTTTTTTACTGTTGTTTTCTTTTCAATTATTTCAAGTGCAGATTCTCCATCATCTCTATATTTTGTTTTGATTTTTTGGACTTTTGTCAGACCTGATGGTTTTGCACTTCAATATCAAAGTAGTCAACTCTTTTGCACTTTATGGTCATGCCAGAAATGCCCATCTCATTTTCTTTTAGACAAAACAGGTCTATAAAAATGGTGAAATAAAAATAATTCCATACCAAATCTCAAAGGGTTGTTAGGAGTTTTGACCCATTATACCCTGTATGATACAACACTGTCCACAAGAAAACCTGAAACAGGATGAAAAAGACTTGAAACTGGATTTCACCCTTCAAAATGCTGACACTGATGCTACGGTCACTGACCTGTAGGGGCTCTTTCCTTTTGAGAAAGCTCTTTTGCCGTTTTCGTGTTTGCCTTACTGCCGAGAAGAAAACATGTT